CCTCTAGCTATCATCGCTTCCTCTGTAAACCTTACCCCAGTCTCTCCCACTCTGTGTCCAGGTTAGGTCCCCGCCCTGCATTCTCCTACTTCCTACTGCCATGAACACTCAGCACACTTTACTGTAATCTCCCATCTGTTTACCATCCCCCTCCAGAATATATTGTTATAGCTCAGGATGGCTACCACATGGGTCATTCTTTCTCACTCTCTAGGTATCATTGCTTATATCTATATATCTATATCTAGGTATACCCTCTATTTCCCATTTGTTTACCAGCCCCCTCCAGAATATATTATCATAGCTCATGATGGCCACAACATGGGTCCATCTTCAGAATCAGCCTACTCTGGCATATAACCAATATACAGGGAATGGTTTATAATGAAGTGCATGGCATACACGTGGTATAATGATGCTGCAGTGATGAGCATCAAGTGCTGAGCTGGCTTATGAAGCAGGTAGTGATTATATTTTATTTTGCATTGAGCTGCTTGTCTCCAGCAATACCGTGCTCAGTAGGGGCAGAACAGAACCATTACTTATGCTCTGCATCCCATCTTTAGCCAGGAGGGCATCTTGGTTCCCAGTCCCCAGCTGCTGTAAACACACTAACTCCTCTACTCCAGGGCTCAGCCTTCCAACATGGGTAGTTTCGGGATCACATTGAGCCCCAGACATGGGGCCCAGCCATCTGGAGTCTCTTCCCTGCTCTGCAGCTCGTCTGCTGATCACCTCTCTGGGCCTCAGTTTCCTTATTTGTCAAATAAGGGATTTGGAGGGCAAATAAAAAACAAACTGATTGGAAAATTATAAAATACTAGATAAATATAAGCTCCCCCCTCCTCTGAGAAGACTTCCTGACTTCTCTAGCTGAAAAAGCTCTACCCCTGGAAGGTTCAGGGCAGTGCCAAACCCCTAATGGCCAGTGCAAGGGAGAGGACAAAGAGGAAGAAGAAGGATGCTCCGTGCTGGGTGTCCCCTGCCTACCAGCCGCCCACTGTGCAGATAAGTTGAAATCTGATGGGAGCCCTGAGGAAGAAGGTTCAGGTCCTGAGTACAAGCTGGTATGCAAGCACGACTCATTCCAAATGCCTCCTCACCACAAATTCTCAGGGCTGCAAATTATTAACCTGCATAACTCTGCTTTGAAGATAAGTGCTGCTGGGGGGAGGAGGATGTCAGAAGTCCCTTCATGTGAAAGGTCCCTTTCCAGGAGAGAAGAACCTTCCCTTATAGCATTCAGCCTTTCTTACTTACTTCTAATAGGAAACCTTCTAAACCAGCCTTGCAAAAAAATGTCTAACCTCTCAACCAGAGGCAGTAATGATTCATCTCAAGAGGGATTTCATCCTGCAAGGCTAGTAACTAAGGCTCCTATTTACGTCCTCCACTACTTGGATGAGCAATTCAAGAGAATTGCTGGGTTAGCCAAAAAAGAATTAATGTATTGCTGGCACATTTTGGCAAAATTTATCACATTTGCCTAAGCATCTCCAGGCAATCCATCAATGCCGCAAGGAGCCTGGAGAAATCCACTGCCTGATAAACCAACTGGTTTATGCTCCCATTTATGAATTTCCAATTAAAAACCTCCTACAAAAACCGTGCAGAAAAAGTGAAACACAGAGAGAGAAGCAGTTTGCCTCAGATTAGGCATGGACTTGTGGTTAATTTAAGTACATGGATGCCACAGTCTCGGTGCTTGGGTTTGAATCCTGTCCCCTTAGTCCCAAGGTGGGTGGTGTCACCTCTTTAAGCTTCAGTTTCCTTCTCTGTAAAACAGTCGTGGTCATAAAATCTCCTAAGTTGTTTTGAGCAATAAATGAGATGATGCTGGTAAAGTACTTGGCACAAAGTGCCTAATAAGAGTGGGAGGTGTGAGTGTAAATGATCTTCAGTGATGGAGAAGAGGAAAGGTCACACTCCATCAGAGAAGTTTAAAACTAACCCCTCGTTAGTGGGCTGACTGTGTCTACCTCCCCTCCCCCAAATGAGACAAGGCTGCCATGACAAGGTGCCTACTTCTCAAGATCTCAAAGCAATTCATCTAAATTCTGGAAACCATATATAGGAAAAATAGCCTTAGAAGTAAGGAATTTATAGGAATATATTTAACAAAAGAAATGCAGGATATGTACACTGAAAACTAGAAGACACTGTTGAAAGCAACTAAAGGAGACCTTGAGTAAGTAGAAAGACATCCTGTGTCCACAGATCAGAAGAGCGAATATTGTTCAGATGGCAATACTCCCCAAAACTGATCCACAGATTCTGTACCATCCCAGCAGGCTTCTCTGCAGAAATTGACAAGCGAGTAATAAAATTTTGCAGGTAAGTGCAAAGAACCCAGAACAGCCGAACAATCTTGAAAAAAAAAGAACAAGGCTGTAGGGCTCACACATCCCAATTTCAAAACTTACTATAAAACTATAGTAATCCAGACAGTACTGGCGTAAAGACAGACATATAGATCAATGGAACAGAAGTGACAGTCTAGAAATAAACCCCCGATGTTTATGATCAGTTGATATTCAAAAGGGTTCGAAGATAGTTCAATGGTGAAAGAATAATCTTTGGTAAACACATATTGTTGGGATAACTGGATAGCTACATGAAAAAGAATGAAGTTAGACTCCTTCTTACCATATACAAAAATCAACAAAAAATGGACCAGAGACTTAAGTGTAAGAGCTAAAACTATGAAACTCTTAAAGGAAAACATGAGTTAAATCTTCACAACCTGGAGTTAGGCAATGGTTCTTAAATGTCACACTAAAAGCATAAGCAAGAAAAAAAATAGGTAAGTTGAAGATCACAGCAATTAAAAACTCTTGTGCTTCAAAGAGCACCATCAAGGAAGTACAAAGACAACCTACAGAAAAGAAGAAAATTAATTGCAAATCATATATCCAGAATATGTTAAAAAAAAAACTTATAACTCAACAAAAAGACAAATGACACAATTTTAAAATAGACAAAGGATTTGAATAGACATTTCCCCAATGAAAATATACAAATAAACTATAAGCACATGAAAAGATGTTCACTATCATTAGCTGTCAGGGAAATACAAATCATAACCACAGTGAAATACCACTTCACTAGGGTGACTGTTATCAAAGCTAAGACAATAGCAAGTGTCAGTGAGGATACAGAGAAAATGGAAACTTCATACATTGCTAATAAAAATGTAAAATGGTCCAGCTACACTGGAAAAGTTTCTTAAGAAATTAAATACAGATTATAATATAGATACAGGTCACAGACATCTATATAGATACTATCTGATTCCATTTATGTGAAATGTCCAGAACAAGCTTATTTATAGAGGCATAAAGTAGAGTAGTGGTTTCCAGGGCTCAAAGAGAGAAAGTGCGGTAGCCAGAGGGAGTGAGTTCTAATGAGTATGAGGTTTCTTTTGGGGGGTGAGGAAAATGTCTGAAATTAGTAGTGAAACTTGCATAATCCTGTAAATGTACTAAAACCACTGACTTACATACTTGAAAGGAGTGAATTTTGTGGTATGTCAATTATATCTCAATAAAGCTGTTATTTAAAAACAAAACAAGAACAGACTAAGGGGTACAGGTGTTCTCAATGACTGCAACAAGGCATCCTCTCCATCTGGCTGACACGATGACTTGTAGAAAGAGACCCACAGCTCCCTGCTCTGTTCTATTTGGGTTTCCTCCTCACCGACCTCAGAGCCCTACCCTGGTATCCTAAGTTCTTGCCCATGAGAGCCACAGCAGCAGCAATAGTGAAAACAGCAACATGGCTAATGTTTACTGTGAACTATGTGTCAGGTGTTGTTAGAACCACTCACTATACAGTGAGTGCCATCAACTCTCACCTGGGTGCTGCAGGAAATCTGAGCATCATCAGACCACAGAGCATCATCTCTAGCTCAGCAAGTGTCCCTACGACAGCATTCAAGGCCCTGCAGCATCAGCCCTCACCCTTATTTTTACACCCAAACTCTGCAACCCTGTCCCTCACTTCACTGAAGTTCATTGGTAGTGTTGCCACGTGGAATACAGGACAACCAGTTAAGCTTTAATTTAAGATAAATCATGAATAATTTTTTAGCAGAAGAAAGTATCAAATATTGCACTATTCATTGTTTAACTGAAATTAAAATTTAACCGAACGTCTTGAAATTTCACTTGTTGTGCCTGGCAGTTCTGCGCAGCAGCCCCCAGGTCATTTCTGAAATGCATGGAGCTGTCTCCCCTAGAGAATTTTGCATTTGCTCTTCTCTCTGCCTGAAGTTCTCTTTCTCTAGCTATTCACACGGCTCCCTTGCAAACATCAGGTTTTTGTGCAAATGGGACCTCAACATAGGGGTGTCTCTAAGCCCACTTCTCACTGGCACTCTGAAGCTCTCTAAGCCTTCATCACCACTGACATGTTAAATATTTAGCTGTTGTCTGCCTTCCCCTAAGGATACTGGGAATTCCTTGAGGGCAGGGTTTCTTTGATTCACTGTTGCATTCCCACTGCTTAGAACCAAACCTGACATGGAGCAGATAATAAATTGATATTTACTGAGTGAATACAGAAGTGTTGTGTGTGAGTTATATCAACTCATGTTCCAAAAAGTCCCTGTGAGACAAACACTGCACCATCAATCATGTCTCATAGACGAGGGATCCAAGACACAGAAAAGCTAAATAATTCATGCAGAAGCCCCCTGAAGCCAATGATGAGGCCAGGTCCAGACTCAGAAGCTGTGCCAGCTTAACACAGCAGAGAGGCATCTCAGAGCTAAGGTAACAGGTGTTTCTGCCTTCCACCCATTTCGATTATTTGGGGTTAGGGGAAGGAAAGAGCCACTGACATATCTGAGAGTCTGTATTTGCATCAGACACCTTAATTCCAGAACTGAATTGCACTGCTTGATTTTGCTCACACAATTACTATTCAACACAAAGTGTAGCAAATAACCACTTAAGCACCCATGAAATGGAGAAGTTTGCATGGATGTCTGTACTCACTTTTACTTCTTCTTGAACATCAGGATTACGGAAATTTAAATCAGGTTGCTCTTTCGTAAACTGATGAAAATAGCATTGTTTTCGTACCTCATCAAAGTGCCAACTGGAGTTTCCATATACACTTAACTAGCAGACAGAAAATAGCAGATCAGTTCCTTAGCATGGTTTCTATGATGGTATTGCCCACAAAGAAATGATCATTGTCATCGTCAGCCCCATGCGGACTAAGTGTGCAAGTCCCTAGAACTTTCCTTCCAGTGACAGCACTGGACACATTAATTTTATCTTGCTGGCCTAGTGCCCCACAAAAGTGGCTGTGATGTGTTTTTACAATAGAAACTGTTCACAACAACTACAACATCAAATCAATGCTCTCAAAGTAAGGAGCAGACATTTCTAATCTATTTTCTTGAAACTTCTGTCCAGGCTCTGGACTCCTGTTTGTGAAGAAAAGCAAATGATGGTCAGTTTGGAAGAAAGACACATTCCACTGATGGAGCTTGAATCCAAATAGAGCGAATGTTTAAATGGTATTTTCAGAAAAAATATTAGAATCATTCCATTTAAAATGCTGCTAGCCCTCAGGAATAAAAGGAATCTAGCACCTTCAAAAGGACTTCCCTATAGCTCAGATGGTAAAGAATCTGCCTGCAAGGCAGGAAACCCAGGTTCAATCCCCGGGTCAGGAAGATCCTGGAGAAGGAAATGACAACCGACGCCAGTATTCTTGCCTGGGAAATCCCATGGAAAGAGGAGCCTGGGCAGCTACAGTCCATGGGGTAGCAAAGAGTCAGAAATGACTAAGTGACTGAGCATACACACAGTAACTTCAAACGTTGGCACCCAACAGCATTTGACAGAGGTGCTGCTTTCCTCCTCCTAGAAACGCTCACATCCGTGGCATTTCCAAAAGGAAGAACCTGTGTCAGGTTTCCTCGGGGCTCTGTCTTGGGCCATTTATTCATTTCACAGTAAAGAAAACATCTAGACAACATTTACAAACTGAGGGGTTTTGCATAAATATTTTATTTTTAGCTGAAAGACCTAGTCACACTGGGTCCACATTTCCATGGCAACATTGGGCCCAAGCTAAGTAGTAGTTGACGCCTTTTGAGGAAACATTCCCTCGCCAGCTCACCTCATGGCCCACCTGAATACAAACCAGGATAAGATTTTTACAGCATATATTAGTATACAGAAAGATCAGTATACAAAATACAAAAAAATAAATAAATAAACTCTGCAAATCTATTTCAAAGGGACCAACAATCCAACAAAAAATTGGAGAAAGAAACCATTAAACAGATGTTCCACAGAAATGGAAGCTCAAGTGAATAAAGGTATGAAAAGATATTCAGCATCATTATTAATTAGGCAACTAGTACATCAATAATTAGTAATTAGATAAATAATCATTAGCAGTTAGAGAAATGTGAAATTAAGACCTCAACGTTGTACCAATTTATGCTCACTCAGTAAAAATTAGACTAGATTACAGTCTTTAGCCCTTTCACTTCTTAGCTGTGAACCAGGACAAGGTGCTTAACATTTCTCTGCCTCAGTCTGCTCATCTGTAGAACAGGAATTAAAGCCCAATCCATAAGACTCAACAGTGAATTAAAGGAATTAATGAATATAATCAATATCAAATGCTCAGAGCCTGGCACACAGTAAGCATTTAGCAAATGTTTCCTACTGTCATCATCATTTTAAAAAGTGGTGGACTGGTAAAAAGGAAAATTGTATGTTTGCTCAATCACTCAGCTGTGTTCAACTCTTTGCAACCCCGTGGCCTATAGGCGACCAGGTTCCTCTGTCCACAGGATTTCCCAGGCAAGAATACTGAAGCAGGTTGCCATTTCCTCCTCCAGGGGATCTACTTGACTCAGGGATTGAACCTACATTTCCTGCATTGGCAAGAGGATTCTTTAACACTGAGCCACCTGGGAAGTGGTGAAATTGCCAGGACTTGTTAAAGGGCGGTTCACCAGGCTGTGTATATTAGTGCCATTCATATAACCTTGGATATGGGAGGTTGGGAGAGAAGGTCACACAGTCAACTTCAGACACTCATCACTTGAGTGCCCTTGGGTCATTTAAGAGCTGATGCCCAGGAGTCAGCCTCTTTCAGTGCTTAGGGAGGTCAAGAGGGAGGCCCTGGAGTGGGGAGACATGATCCAGAGAAAAAGGGTCTGTAGAAAGCAGGAGAGAAGATGAACAGAGGGACTGACCTAGGACAGAAGAGCTGCCAGATAAACTACAAGATATTCAATTCAATCTGAATTTCAGATAAGCAATGAATACTTTTTTAGTGTAAGTGTATTCCAAGTATTTTACACTAAAAATTATTCATTGTTTATCTAAAACAGATTTCATTGGGCTTTCTCTCAAGCAGGAGAGACAAGGTCTCTGTGCAGAAGAGGTAAGCAGGAAGAGGTGGAAACAGAGGCAGTGTGTGAGCTTCTGCTCTTCCTTTAAAGTTGGGTTTGCTGCTAAGAGTGATGAGATGTGGTGAAGGTGGGTAGGATGTCTGAAGAGGAGAGAGGGCAGGTTGATCAGTTGGATTTAGTAAAATTCCCCCAAAAGAGTAGATGGATCAGTTCAGATAGGGACAATGAATATGTCCAGAGGCTTGGATACCAAAGTTCAGGTAAAGAAAAAATGGATGGTTGGGTTCTTTTATGGCTAGTGTTTTACTGGCCAACAGAGTCAAAAAGTCAGAAGGGCAAAAGGGTCTGGAGGGTAGTAAGACAGTTACTAAACTAATAAGACATATGGGGTCTCAGCTGGACAGAGGGGGAGATAAAGGAAAGAGAGGTTAACAGAGAGCATAGGTTTTAATTTGCTAAAACACATCAGCTCTACAATGAAATGAAAAATCCAAACCCACAGATGATTAGAAGCTTGGGACTTCATTTCTATTTCTTTGGGAAATTTGTTTTCCTTCTCATAAACTATAGCTATCATTCATTTTCCTTTAAAGGGGTTTTATAAATAACCAGTTTAATAATTGAAGATCTGCCAATTTTAGTTCTGTAAATCAAGCATGTTGGGACTTACCCAGTTGTTGGGTGGTATGGTTATGCCATTTTCATAGTTACAGTCATGCCAGATATAATAATCAGTATACTTTCCTGTCCGGTTCCGACTCCATTGAAACCAAGCATGTTTATCACTGGTGTGGTTTGGTATGAAATCGATGATTAATTTTAAACCTAGTGAGTTAAAATATTTCAAATGGTAAGATAATATTATGTTACATAATATTATATTAGAATAATACAATAGTGAGAAAAAAATGCTCTAAGCTAAGCATTTGGAGAAATGCTTTCCTTAAACCATCCCACCCACCTTCCATTTAATTTACCTTTATCATGTATGGCTGCAACCAGATTCTCAAAATCTTTCATTGTTCCAAAAAGGGGATCAATTTCTCGGAAATCTTCAACACCATGTCGGAAATCTTTAAGGGATGATTTATAAAATGAAGTAATCCAAACAGTTTTTATATTTAAAGTTGTGATGTAATCCAATTTATCTTGAATACCTGAAGGCAAAAGTCAAAGCCATGAAAAATTGTTTTTTTCAGTTGAACAATTAAAAATAAAATGAATAGGCTTAAGACAGAAATATTTGGGGGTTTTTTGAATTTGGGTAAAATTCAAATAGCAATGTCTAGGTCTACAACCAACAGCAAGTTAGTCTTCTGGCAGTAACCTTTGAACTTTAACATCAATGCATAACATTTAAAAAATCTGTCTGTGGTTTGTTCATATTTTACACTTAAAACCAAAACTACGCTTTTGTTAACCTATTCTACACATGGTTTTTGAGCACCTAATCCAGGCCAGACGCTGGGCTAAGTACCAAGATACAAAGAGAATAACGTATGCACTCTTGATGGTCACGTGGTCTAAGCGGCACTGTCTAGTTGTAGCCACTTGCCATGTGGCTATCAAGCACTTGCAATGTGACTAGTCCAAACTGAGATGTGTTGTAAATGTAAAACACACACTGGACACTGAAGACCCAGTATGAAAAGAAAGAATGTAAAATAGCTCATTTATATTTTTATATTGATTATATGTTACAAAGACCCTGATGCTGGTCATTGGAAAAGACCCTGATGATGGGAAAGATTGAAGGCAGAAGGAGAAGAGGGCAACAGAGAATGAGATGGTTGATTGGCATCACCGACTCAATGGACATGAACTTGGGCAAACTGCGGAGATGGTGAGGGACGGGGAAGCCTGGTATGCTGCAATCCATGGGGTTGTGATGAGTTGGATTCGACTAAGTGACTGAACAACAACCATATGTTGAAATGATAGTGGATATGTTGGATTAAACAAAGTATATTATTCAAATTAAGTTCACTCTTTTCTCTTTTACTTTTTTAATATGGCTTCTAGAAAATTGTCAATTACCTATGTGGTCCACATTCTATACAGCACTGAAGTCAAGCATTTATGCAGAAGAGAACTTTAGGCTTAGATGAGAAGAGACATAGGAATGAAACTCTTGTACTCAGGGCCTCTTGGATAATTAGCAGTTAGTGGGGGGAAGTGCTTCTAGTTCAGAGTCCTAAATGCAGAGTCCGAGTTTAGTATTTGGTCTGCAGTAACTTCCTGTGGGTCCCCTGTCAGAAGTTGCTGAGACCAAAGCAGGAGTCAGACTGCTTATCTGTGTCCTGACTATACTTCAGCTCCCCTCCATGGATGGCTGTGAGACCTCCTGGAGTATCAACAGGCAACAAAAGAATTTTGACTTAAGTCATATTAAAGTCAGAATTTTGACTTATATCAAGAAAAAGCACAAAGGAACAGGATGATAAAAACTAAGAGGCCAAATGGACACAGAGTAACAAAGGATCTCCCATGTCCACCTTCCAGGGGACAGAAAGCAATAGACTAAACTGAAACCTGGAATGTTTTCTTCAAATCAGAACAAAATCCTCTCAACCTCAAGAAAAAATACCTATTAATTTCAGGAAGCAGGCAGTCCTTCAAGGAAAAGCTATGGGAAATGACAAATGTGAGAGGTGATTAGAAGTTGCCCTTTGCACAGGGAATTTAGAAGATTACAGAAGGAGGGCCAGGAAATGGGTAGTACATTTTAGGGGTATAGGGTTTTTGGTTTTATTCCATCAAAACATCACTGTGCAAAGCATTTATTTTGTAAGAAGCAGCAGGTGATAGGATCATGCTGAGGGCTGAGGGGTTGGAAGGAAAGTCACCCAGATATGTTACACCGAAGCACCAGAGGTACGGCTCCATCCAAAACACCGAAAGGGTTTGGGGAGGGTAGCACCCCCTCTGATCAGGAGGTTAAACACAGATTAATGAAGGAAGTGGGTTTGAACAGCATCTTGAAGGTCAGACAATATTTCAATTAGTTAAGATGCAGGATGATTTTTAAGAGAAAAATTATATGAGTGTGAAGAAGAAGTCTTTTATTAGTTTACTAAAGAAAGCTGAAGATTTTAGGAGTGTGTTTGAAGCATTTTAAAGTTTGATTAAGCTCATTACCACCTCTTATACTCTTTTCTTTTTGATGCATAACATAATCACATTTATTTAAGAGTGTATTCCAATATCAAAAAGCAAAATTCAACAGCGTAAAACCTCAATTACTTTCACACCAACCTAATAGTTTTGTGAGGACTCCCTGATGTATTCAGACATTTTCATGCAAGGTGCAGGCCTTGATCACACAGTTCTGAGATAAATCTATCCTTACATACTGTATTCTAGAACAATTATGATCTCAAAGTCTTCAGTTTCTGAGTCTAAGCTGTCCACTAATTGAGGAAGTAGTGGGTGACCTGTTATAGAAGGTGTGCAAGGAAAGCCACCTTTTAGAATGCTGGACTGGGGCCTCCTCTAGTAAGCCAGAAGAAGGGGCTGCAGAATGGAGGGCCTTACAGACTCAACAGCAATGAAAAGAGAAATACTAAGCCCCAGGAAGGGAGCCAAGCAACTAGCCAAAAACAAACAATTCAGCAAGCTATTATATATCAGGTACCTAGAGCTATACCCAATACATTCGTATGCGCTCAGTTGCTCAGTTGTGTCCAACTCTTTGCGACCCCCCGGACAGTAGCCTACCAGGCCCCTCTGTCCGTGGGATTTTCCAGACAAGAACACTGGAGTGGGTTGCCATTCCCTTCTCTATCCCATACTCTTAAATCATTGTTCTGTCTTCTTCAAGCCAAATAGTATTATCAAAAATTATCTTATTAGTTTGTTTGTTCCTTATTGTTTCCCTTAACTGGGGTGACCATATCAACCAATTTGCTTGGGACAGTTCCCTGTGATTGGTTTGTGTCCTCATTTGAGCAATAAATAATAAGGACATTCCACACATAAAACACTAGGAAATTATTAGCATAACTTTAAAAATATTTTTTACTTTCTTTATTAAGATGGATATTATTTTAAATAATCCTTACTTCAACTAAAGACCAACCCACACTATGCCTTTTCTTCATTTCTCAAGATTTAAGCTTTAAAGGCTCAGTCTATACATTTTAAAGATATCACTTAATCTTCTTCTAAAATATATGAATTATGCTTTGCTCATTAATCAGAATCTCTCTGCCAGATTATCAAACTAGCCACTGTGTACCCTAGAAAAGGGATTCTAAAGATTCTAAACAGCCACTCTGAGATGACCAACTCTAAAGTGCACAGAAGCAGGACACATTTCAGGAGGAAACTTGCTCATGTAGGAGGTTAGAGCAGATGACTATGCAAAAAGTTCCTACTGGGCAATAAACTTAACAGCCCTTTGGGGGCTCAAAGGGCTCCAGCAAGTATCCTTTCATCATATACTAAGAATTGCTGGGTTCTGCTGAGTGGCTTTTTAAAATATCATAAACAAGGAGAAAGGCATGATCAGTCACACTGGGTGGAATGTGCTTATTACCGCACAGCCCAGGCATAATGAGCTTCAAGGACAACGAGCCCTAAACCAACCTCATCCCGCCCGGCCCCAAACTCTCAAGGCACACACCTTTTAGATCTCCGTTCCCATCCTTGTTGCTGTCCTTGAAAGACCTTGGGTAGATCTGGTACATGGGTCCCACCTGCCACCAGTCCAGGCACTTGGGAGAGACGGCAATGATGGCTATGGTGGCCGCAATGAGCACGAGCACGGAAGCTACAGTGAGCCAGAAGAGCACCTCCCGCGGTATCCGATAGCGGGCCTGGCCCGAGAACTGAAATAGCACCTCTTTGGGCATCCCAGCATAGGGCCGGACATCCTTCACGTCGGGCTCCCCAGGGCCAAGGATGTCCACGGTGTTGTGCTGTGGGCCGGCCGCTGGGCTGCTTGGGTCCAGGTCAGTCTCCAGGATGTCTTCATTTTGTACAAACCCGTTGTTTGCCTGGCCTTCCTTCGCATATAATACAGTGGAACCTCTCTTGCTTTTATCCTCAGCCATGTTTCACAATCTTATCCTGCCGAGTGCCTTCCTGCAGTAACAAAAGCGAGAAGAGAGCTTGCAGAAATGCTTGATCGTGTTAATGAGCTTTTCATGGTTTATAAATAAACCTGACTGGACAAAGTTCAGCCAAGGAAGAAAGAGTAAAGGTAAAGTGGGTTTTTTAAAAAATTCTCCTTACACCCTGTGAGACTGATGTACCTACAGTCAACCACATGGAGGGATTCAGATCTGGACTGGAACAGAGGCACAGAGGAGGCGAAATGGGAAGAGGACACAGCGTTCCACTGCAATTTAAGACCTTACTTGATTGAGCACACAAATGTTTACAGCAGCATTATTCACAACAGTCAAAAGGTGGAAAGAAGCCAAGTGGATGAATGGACAACCAAACTGTGACATATACCTTAAAAAGGAATGAAATTCTGACAGGTGCCACAACATGGATGAACCTTGAAGACATTATGCTAAGTGAAGGAAGCCAGAGACAAAAAGACAGATGTCGTCTGAGTCCACTTTATACGAGGTAGGTACATGAATTCATAGAAAGAGAGCAGAAGGGTAGTTAACAGGAGTTGGAAGAAAGGGGGTCATGAGCAGTTCTTGTTTAATGAATATAAAGTTTACATTTTGGATGATGCAGAAGTTCTGGAGGTGGTCATACACGAATGTAAATGTACTTAATGCCACTGAATTGCACACTTACAAATTCTTAAAGTGGTAAATTTTGTATTATGTATATCTTACTACAATAAAAAATAGCTTAAATTTTCTTTCTTGTTAGCTAGGTATGAGAAAAAGAAACACTGAATTTTGCAGGGGGAAACATGATTTTCTTTACTTTTTGTTTTGAAGGTCTCTTCTACAAATCCAAGAGAAAGAGGATCTAAAGACAGGGGACAACAACACCTTTGTTGCTGAAGCTACTTCATCTCAGTTCAAGCCAACCTGATACATGCCTATTAGTATGCTCAGTTCGACCCCAGGAGCCTTCAGTCTAGTTTCCTATTTTCAGAAGAGTATGGTTGCCCATTCTTAGAAGCACTTTTCCAGGTGGGGATAGTGGAATGGGGAATTTCATGTCTAGCAAGTTCAAGTGCTTTATTATAGGTAAACAGTTCTTCATACAAGCACTAAAGAGTTGTTTAATCATTGACAAGTATAAAATACAAATTTGCAACCCTGAAGAAACTGCATTAAAAGTGAGGGGTGCTTTCCCAGAAGATTATGCAAACCTTAAAAGAATGTGATGATTCATGGCTTCCTTTTAATCGGTGCACATATAATAAACAGCTCTATGACTCTTTTGATCAAATAAGAAGTTTTTTGTTTTAAGTGAGGAAAGTTGCATGAATTCCTAATATTACTGTTAATTTGCAGACTGACTTAGAAGCAGTAATTGGTACAGAGAAATGAGCTGTTTGATTTTGGCTAAGTTATTTTTTTAAGTGAATAAATCCCCAAATCTAGCTCATTCAATGCACCCGATAAGTGGCATCTCTCATTATTACTAATTAGGCATATTGTATATTTTTTAACAATTAAAGGAATTTAACTTTTGTTTCCAAATCACTTTATCTCTCGAACACATAATGGTAATTTTCACCATAGGAGCTAATTAAAAGGATTTTTTGAACAGTAAAAGCAATTACAAAGATTGAATTTATTGAATAAAATTTATTACACAACAAAGCATAAAATTGAAGAGCATATGACAAATTGGGAAATGCATTGGTAATAAATATGCCAAAGAACTTTATGTTTTTAACATTAAAGGTATGTATACATTGTTAGACATTCAGTTCAGTTTAGTCGCTCAGTCGTGTCCGACTCTTTGTGACCCCATGAACCGCAGCACGCCAGGCCTCCCTGTCCATCACCAACTCTCGCAGCTTACTCAAACTCATGTCCATCAGTCAGTGGTGCCATCCAACCATCTCATCCTCTGTCATTCCCTTCTCCTCCTGCCCTCAAACTTTCCCAGCATCAGGGTCTTTTGAAATGAGTCAGATATTCACATCAGGTGACCAAAGTATTGGAGTTTCAGCTTCAGCATCAGTCCTTCCAATGAACACCCAGGACTGATCTCCTTTAGGATGGACTGGTTGGATCTCCTTGCAGTCCAAGGGACTCTCAAGAGTCTTCTCCAACACCACAGTTCAAAAGCATCAATTCTTTGCTGCTCAGCTTTCTTTATAGTTCAATTCTCACATCCATACACAACTACTGGAAAAACCACAGCCTTGACTAGATGGACCTTTGTTGACAAAGTAATATCTCTGCTTTTTAATATGCTGTCTAGGTTGGTCATAACTTTCCTTCCAAGGAGTAAGCGTCTTTTAATTTCATGTCTGCAATCACCATCTGCAGTGATTTTGGAGCCCAGAAAAATAAAGTCAGCCACTGTTTCCACTGTTTCCCCATCTATTTCCCATGAAGTGATGGGACTGGATGCCATGATCTTAGTTTTCTGAATGTTGAGCTTTAAGCCAACTTTTTCACTCTCCTTTTTCACTTTCATCAAGAGGTTCTCTAGTTCTTCTTCACTTTCTGCCATAAGGGTGGTGTCATCTGCATATCTGAGGTTATTGATATCTCTCCCGGCAATCTTGATTTCAGCTTGTGCTTCCTCCAGCCCAGCGTTTCTCATGATGTACTCTGCATATAAGTTAAATAAGCAGGGTAATAATATACAGCCTTGATGTACTCCTCTTCCTATTTGGAACCAGTCTGTTGTTGCATGTCCAGTTCTAACTGTTGCTTCCTGAACCGCATACAGGTTTTTACAAAAGGCAGGTCAGATGGTCTGGTATTCCCATCTCCTTCAGAGCCTTCCACAGTTTATTGTGATCCACAAAAGGCTTTGGCATAGTCAATAAAGCAGAAATAGATGTTTTTCTGGATCTCTCTTGCTTTTTTGATGATCCAGCGGATGTTGGCAATTTGATTATGTATACATATATAAAATTTCATAGTATCAGTTTAAAAATGTCAGTTAAAGCTTGAAAAAAAAGGTTGTAAACAGATATTTCACACAAATCAACTTAATGTTAGAGAAATAAGCATTTTCATTTGGCAAAGAATTTCTAAAAGATAATAGTACTAGCAAGGATCCAGTGTAACCTCATAATTCTGGAAAGTAATTTGGCAGTGTGTATCATGAGTTTTAACATTTTCAGAGTAATAAATGAGGCTAGCTCTACCAGATTTTAAAATAAAAACTTCAAAAAAAAATGAAGAGTTGATATTAAAGTTTAGGTTAGGTCAAAAGATCAATTGGATAGACTGGAGTCATCAAAAATGGACCCCTATTCCTTATACAGAAGGAAATTTAGAATATGAAAAGTGAGGAAAAGAAAGATTATTTAGTAAGTAATGTTGGACAGTTGGATAAGGAGAGTAAATATGATCAGAATCACGTGGGAAAAAATAGTACACCCATTTGTGCATGCATACTAAATGTCAGCTAGTGGCTGCCTGGAGACTAAGAGATTGAAGATGAGATTCCTTGGATTTATATTTTTCACTTTACCCTGTGTCATTTGTTCTCAGCACATTATGACTTTTGTAATACAAAGGGGAGAAGAGGTTCATATCCTTTAACTGGGCAATTTCAATTCCAAAACTCTCTTAAGGAAATAATCCAAGACAGGAACAAAAGTTTGTGAGTAATAAGGCTTATGAATTACAGTGTCATTTATAATGTCAAATATTGGAAACCAAAATGTTCAGTGACATAAGACTAACTAAATTACTGTACATCCATGTTATAGAATCTTAATCACTAAGCGTATTTTCAAAGATTTTTAATGACATGGAAGAAATCTCACATTATTGTGTTGAGTAAGAAAAATGCAAGATATAAAGTAATTCTTCTAATTATGTAAAAAAAAATTCTCATGTATATAAAGTCCTATTAGAATATATGTTTAAAGTGTTTATTTCTGGGTTCTAAAATTATGGATGATACACAATTTGTTCTTTAAACTTTTTCTGATTTTTGCAATTTTTCTGTAATTAATATTACAATCAATATTAATCTTCCATTAGAAAAAAAAAAAAGTTAGGGAACCTTGAGTTTGGAGTCTACCTAGAACTTCCAGTCAGGTTGTAGAGTTCAGCTTAAAGTGATTCCTTCTGGTATCAATCACCCAAACTTCACAAACATCCCATACTCAAGATTTAAACTAAGATTTAAAGAGAAAAGAAACAAACTTCTTTTTGAAGACATGGATTCAGTGAAAAGTATGGACACATTGGAGGGAAGAAAAAGTTGACAGTAACTTGAAGAAGACAGCCACAGAGTTAAGACTGCCAACAAAGTACAAAGTATGTTTTACTTACTATCAAGGAGACTTAGAAGGAAATATTGCTTGTAGAAAGCCAAATACACTGCCTGTTAAAACTCCTAAACATCAATAAGGACAAGAACACTAAGGAAAGTTTAAGACCTAACTCAGATAATTGGAACAAAGAATCAAAGATAATGTAGATAAACTTCCTCAGTAAATTCAAATCCCAAGTGAGTTACACAATCATGATAATAAAGTAAAGAATAATGAACTATCTGGAAAACAGATAACAGAACAATGGGGCTATCACAGGACACAGAAACATCCTGCAAATTAAACAGAAACAAACATATAGAAAGCAAAAATCAATAAAAATATATTTTATATTATATATATTATAAATGGGTTTTTAAATATACATGTACTAAGATTCATTAAATGAATTTTAAAGCCATTCAGTCATAAAGACTTCCAGTTAGCAGTAAACCCACCAAAATATCTTGCAGCATATAAACTGTCAGATTGGTAAACATTTAAAATAGAAGGATTTTCCATATTGCACTTACCTGTTTACAGCCTCTGTGATCTAAGGGTAAGATCTGCATAGTCATCTTTAAGTTCCCAGGATCCAGCTCAGTGCCAGGTACATTATTAAGTTACCAAAAGAATAGTTACTTAAAGGTAGATGACCTATGCTGAAGAATAGGG